CATGAAAAGGAAAGCATCCTGCTTTAACTTTTACAAGGATTTGAATTGAACAATGTTTTTTCTTCTATTTCTGCCTTCCTCAGCCCTTTCTGATTAATAATGTCAGACTTTTCCATTCAGCTCATTAGAACACTCATATTTTATGGAATGAAATATTGCCTGGTTTTAACCATAAAGCCAGTTAGTCTTTTTTTTTTTTTTTTAAACTGTGGATTGAACCCAGCAGTGCTGTACACACTGAGCTACATCCCCAGTCCTTCTTGATTTTAATTTTTATACAAGGTCTCACTAAATTGCTTAGGGCCTTGCTAAGTTGCTGAGATAGGCCTCCAGTTTGTGATTTTTTACCACAGCCCTCCTACAAGCATGTGGCATTGTGCATAGTTAGTTTTCAAACTCGTTGAAATTTTGTCCTCTGGTAAAGTCCTTAACAGTGGCCTTCAAAGCCCTACCAGGAAATTTTCCCCTCTGYGACTTAACTCATCTTGTACCACATGTCCCCTTCTCTTATTGTCTTTCAAACTGGCTTCCTTGTTCTGWGTCAGGGTCTTTGCACTTGGTGTTCCTTCTGCTATCCTGTCCCCTCTTATATCTGCTTGCTCATCTTTTTCTCGGGGTCCACATCAGATATCATTTTCTTTCAGACCCTTGCTGATACACCATACCACTTCCCTTCACATTCACTTTCTTTCTCTGTCACACACTCTCTACACCTTCTGCTTTCTATTTCTTTCTTTCTTTTTTTTTTTTTTTTGCTTTCTATTTCTTTATAGAACTCACTATGCACTGAAATATGCTTGTTTAAGGTCTCCTGCCACTAAGCACCAAACGTTTTTTGTCTATTTTACTGTTACTCCCACAAATCTCAAACAGCATTCCAACATTCAACAACTTTTTGTTGAATTAATGCTAGACGTGAACTTGACAAAACAAGACTCCTTGCCTCACGAACCATATTGGGGAGCCATAAAATACTTAAAACTGCACTGTACAGTGGGAACACATGAACCTGCAAATCTGCCCAGAAGATCTACATAAGCCGGTATAATGGAATGGTTGGTTTTTGGCTGTGCTCACCAACCGATATTTAAGGCCCTTGTAAAACTATAATGTAGTAAGTAAGCAATTGAGATCGTAACTGGCCAAAGTGAAGTCATATATTGCCAATCATTCTTTCCTCGCTCCAAATGTTTAACAGGGAAAATTTTTTGTTTCATTTCCTCAATTATTTCCTCTTCCTACAATCCAACTGGATTATGCAGCCGACTGGCTGGAATGGTATCGTCCAGGGGAGCGTGTAATGGACTGTTCTGGGAGTCTGCGTAGTGAATGGCTCGTTGGACCTGGCACATGCGCATCTTCTGCGGCGCTGCAAGATGGCTGCCAGCCATTTTGTCACGCCTCGGTGCCCCGTTAGCGATGGCAGCAGCTGGAGACGCCAAGAAGTAACAGTGAACTCGGAGCAGTGGGAATTTCCTGGCCCTGTGGTGTGAGCGAAACAGCGACGAGAGCGATCCCGCGARGAAGCGAGAGGCGGAGCGGAGCGTTGGGCCCCGCCCTCTAACCTCTCCTGAGATTGATCAGCTCCTTCATCCTTCCCTCTGGGTTTTTACTTTCAGTCCTCTGCGCGCAGATCTGCTGCGCAGGCGCACAAATAATCGAAGCGCTTCCTTGGCCCTAAGGGTTTGCGGACTCCTGCGCGCGCTTCTCGAACTCCTCCCTTGATTGGTCAGATTGCCCCGCCATCACGCCTCCCTTGGCTTTCAAGGTTGAGGAGGAAGCGGGGGGGCGGGGCCAGGCCGCGCGTGCGCGATGCTGTTGCTGTCCCTTTGGTGCTATTGCGTTGCAAAAAAAAATCCTGACTAGGTAGCCTTGGGCCTTTTCTGTGCAAGAGAATCTAAGGAGAGAGAGAAAGATTTCTGCAACTGAAGGGACAGTCGGGGAATATTAAATTTAAGATATTAACGCCCGTCCTGGCTCACAGGAGTGTGGTGATAGGGGTGAGTAAGGGCCTTAGCGTTGAGAGCCGAAGAGTAGAAAACCATTAGTTTCGGCGCCAGGCGTTTTGAAAGGCTTCTGTTTTCGTCGTATTTCTCTCCTGACTACTGACTGGTTTAAACACGACCCCTGAACAAATATCGATAAACCTTGGAGCCCGCAGCCCCACCTTGCAGCGCGTAGGAGCCGCCAGCGTGCCGGGCAGCGAGCCCTCCCCTCCGTCCCTCCAGGAGAGCCTAGCGCGTGCACTCCCCCACCTTCTGGCCTCCCTCCCCGTCTACGGCTTCCACGCACTCGCAGTGATTGTTTTGCCCGCTCCCGCCGCCGCCGCCGCCGCCGCCGCCAGAGGAGCAGCAGCGCTTGTGCAGACCGGGAAGATGGCGGCCGGCGGCGGCGGAGGCAGCAGTAAGGCCTCCTCCTCGTCAGCCTCTTCGGCAGGGGCTCTGGAGTCCTCGTTGGATCGAAAATTCCAGTCGGTGACCAACACCATGGAATCCATTCAAGGCTTGTCGTCTTGGTGTATAGAGAACAAGAAACACCACAGCACTATCGTCTACCATTGGATGAAGTGGCTCCGGAGATGTGAGTTGTGGGGCGCCCGGGACGGGAGGCTGGGAGGTGGAAGGAAGGACGGCCCGCAACGCTCGGSGCTTCCCCGCGGAGCCGCTGCGTTCGCTCGGGCTGGTTCGCCGGGAAGCTGGGAGCGACCTCCCCGGCCCGGGCCGGGCTGCCCCGAACCGCGGGAGGTCCATTTCTTGGATATTTTCTCGCCTCTGACGTGGTGTGACCTTGGGCCGTTGGGCCCAGAGCCTTACAGACGTTCCCCTTTCCGCTCAGACGGAGCTTGCGAGTGGGCTGTGGGTGCCCCTGAGCCCCACGGAGATTGTCGCGTCCGTTTATTTCCTGTAGGCCTYGCTGAGAGCCGTCTCCGGTTCTCCTGGTGTAGACCAGGGATGTTTCAGCAGGGGAAGTCCACTCACTCAGCCAGACGTGCTAGACCGTTTCGTGTTTTCTGCTGAGCTGAAACTTGTTACATGTCGTGAGGATGGCCTTATCTGGGTGTCCCTAAAACTTGTGATGTGTGCTGAAGGAGGACTTACCTGGATAGGTGTTACAGGAAACAGCATGAGCTCTGCGTGGGTCTGGGGCGACCGACCACCTGCTCTCCTTTTACCTGTGTTTGCTGCAATAAAATAAAGACTTCTTGATACGGACCAGAAACAATTGGGATAGTTAGTGTCATCATTAAGACCTTATCGTGGAAGGCATATTTGGCTACTTTTTAGATACCTGAAGTATAGAATTTTCTTTTTTTTTTACAGAATTGAATTTGTTTTCATAGGTAATCAAAACGGGAAACGTGCTTTTTTAAGCATATGATACTTTTTTTTTYCCCCTTAGTTATTGCCTTTTTGCCTTGGTATGTGTGTGTGTTTCTCCCCACTTTGGTGCTGTACTACAGAAAAGAGGTCCATTCAGCATGGACTTTTCCAAAAGATTTCAAATTCTTTAGGAGAAAATGTGGAGAAGTCACTTGCTTTCTGCTGAGAATAGAGGGTTAACCCAAATTTCACATACATCTATTTGGATTTTAGTTTGCTTTCTCTCTATAGCATGTTACCAGTGAGACTGGTCATTCAGTTATTCTTACCTTCTTGTCCTACTTCTGCAGTGTTTTGATTTGTCTTTACCTTGGATAAAGCTTGCAAAATTATAGGTCCAAAGCTTCAAACCATTTGTGTTGGAACTTATTGTTGGAAATATTTCTTAYGGTTTTTTGAATAATAATACTAAAAATTTAGGTAGTAGAGAAAGACAGGATTAGTTAATCTCTTTGCCARTAGCAGATCAAATCTTCTTGCTGGAATGTAAAATTAGAACCTAGAATATCAAATATGCTAGCATTCATTATCAAAGACTTATCATGTGTCTAGTATGGGCCAGACATTTCATTATTCCATATAATATACTTTATAATGTACTGAGAAGTGGTGTTTGTTTGTTTGAGTAATGAGATTGAACACAGGGATGCTCTATCTTTGAGCTTCTTTCCCAGCCCTCTTTATTTTTTATTTTAATCCAGGTTCTTGCCAAGTTGTCCAGGCTGGCCTGGAGCTTGCCATCCTCCTGCCTCAGCCTCTCTAGTAGCTGTGATTTTAGGATCATGCCACTGAGCTCAGCTGAGAACTAGATTTTTCAACCATGGTTTACAAAAAGAGAACATTAACGCTCAGAAATGTCAGGTTGCTAATGGTTACTCCGTAAAATGTTGTAGTTGGGAACTGGCTCCACCATTAACTTTGTAAAATAATGTTTAATGTACTTGGTATACCACAGGGAGCAAACAGTGCTAATGTGAGCACGAGAACCAGTTCTCCACTCTGTCTTACAAGGTTTTTACTAAATTATGCAAGCATTTTATATTTCCTGCTGTTGAGTTCTACTGCTTTAATTCTTATGATTACATCTTTTGCAAGAATAAGGTGGTCCCTGTCCTTACCTTAAATGACAATTACCAGATGTTTTTTCCCAGTCAGTAATAATGTGATACACTGGAGCCAGAATTTTTCTGCCTGTGCTATTGTTGATAACATGTACTATGTCTGAGCTTATTTCCTCTGTTGATATCTTAAGAGTGAAAAAATGATTGCTCTAAGAGGGAAATAATTCAGCTGAAGTTAGTTCTGTATAGTTTGTGTAGTTCTTCAACTATAAAAGCTTTTGACTTTATAAAACCTGATATGATTTTTCCTAGGGGAATGGAATTTAACTTTCTAAAATGGGTAGGGGTAATTCATAGTCATTTTGTTCTTACAACTTGGTTATAAATAAAGCCTTTTTTTTTTTTTTTTTTTTTTTTTTTT